CTCACTTCCTCTCTCTGTCTGTCTGCCGCAAGTACACACGCCATATAGCAAATTTTTAAAAAAACGAAAACACAGACGGGGCCAACTCCCCAGCCCCATGGGGCAAAGTCTGAATAGGGCAACCCGTGTTTATTTTAATTCTATACCAGATGCAGTAAAACGTCATTAACTTCTCCTCCGTTGATTTGCAATGGGAGATCATTTGGACAGGAACTGGGCAGAGGGCAACCTTCGTCCTCTCCAGGAAGAGTTTGCCAAACAAATGAATAGTGTAAACAGGACCCTAGGCGGGTTGTTTGAAACCACTTCAGAAGATAAATGATGATCGAGGGCTTTGGGGCCTCCCTGAAGTACACTGTCATAGGATGGTCATCTAGTTCCAGGGGGTGGTAGTGTTCTACAGATGAATATGCGAATAAAATCATTCGCATCTCTTTATTAAAATGACTCATGCAAAGAGCACTTCATTAACCTTGTTTCAAATGTGAACAATTTAAAATATCTGCAGGAAAAAAAAAAAAAAGAAAGAAACACACACACACACACTGAAGGAAAAAATATCCACAGATGTAGACATTCTAGTTTCCATCCAGCCAGCCAGCAAGGGGTCCTGATGGAGGAGGTTTCTTCCACCTCTGGATTTGGGAGAGGGGATTTCTTACAGACCCTGATGGCCACGGCATGCCAGGGAGCTAGAGTCATCTGGAAACAGCTGTGGGGCAGCAGGGCATAAAGCCCCTGGGTGGCAGCTCTTCCTGGGGCAGCCAGACCGCCCAGATGGCCCTTTCAGGGCTGGGAGCTACAGACTTGTCCCTGAGGTAGAGGGAGGGTAAAAATAGTCCCGTGTGGGTGGCAGCTGGGCCCAGAGGCACTAGCTTCCTCTTCTCTGGAGCTGGGGGAGCCAGCCCAGTTGACAGCTGCCTGTTAGGTTCCTAGGGCCCCTCCCAAGTCCTCAGGTCTAAGGGGGCTTTCTAATAATGAAATATTCCCCCACACTTTCTTCCACTCTCCACACACCAAGTGCTGGAAAGAGTTCGGACTTGGTTGTAAGGCAGCTAAGGGATTAAATTGTGACGGTGCCAATTACCTACCAGTCCTGTGACCTCAGGCAAGATTTTTTTCCTTGCTGAACCTCGATTTCCTCATCTGTCAAATGAGGCTAATGACTTACTTCTACAAGGTGTGCTGTGACAATTAAACAACGATAGCCAGTACATATCACTCTGCAGCCTCACTCTCCTGTCCCTTTCTATTCCATGAGTTGCTCCCCTTCTAGCACATTCCTCAAGAGTGGCTCTGAGGCAAACCAGAAGCCATGTGAGGGAGGAATCTTGGAGGCTGATGCTCTCTGCCCCCATCAAGCCCTCAGTGACTGTGGCGTGCCCAGTACCCTAACTGCAACCTCCTGGCTGCCCTGAAGGAAGAGCCGCCCAGCTCAGCTGCGCCTGGAGTCCCGGCCCTCGGAATCCATGGAGATAAGAGATGTTTCTGAGTTTTAGGGTATTTGTGATGCAGCAAGAAATAGCTAACACACTCACCTTTCGGGATTATTATAAGACACATAGCCAGCAACCCAGCTCACTGGGGCAGTGGCTCCAGAAAGGGCCAAGGGAGAAGCAGGAGGAGGGGCACTGGGCAGGGAGTGGGTGGTGAGTTCAGGCCAGGCAGGTCCTGCACCTGAGACCATATATGCAAACGGCCACCAAAAAGGCAGTGTATCGAAATGGACCCCTAACCCGAAACCTGCAGCAGCAGCCCAGGAAGCCATTCTACACCTCCTGTACAATGTGCCCCAAATGGCTGGGCTTGATCAAGGACTGACAGCACCCCAATGTAGGACAAACAGGAGAAAGCCAGGTATGTTCCCCTAATCAATCACAGAGGAGGCCCCTCTTCCAGTGAGCCGCCTGTTGCTCTCCCAGGCCAATGGCATCCCATCATGGTGGACCTACTTTGATTTTTTTTTTAAGAGAGATTTTTACTATGGGGGGCATGTGCTTGCCAGAGAAACAGAAAGTGAAAAATCACCCCCCGGGGGGATGGCCACGCCACAATCCCTTCTCTTCCACTCTCCTCTTGAGATCTTGGACATGCGCGCACACACCTGGCACACACACTGGGTCTAGGACTTGAACTGCAGTCAACTATGTGAGAGTCCAGTAATGCAACCATTATACCATCTGCTAGTCCCTTGATTTTTTTTTTTAAGACAGATTTTTGCTAGAGGGCACATGCACTCACCTGCAGGAGACAGAGAGAGAGACAGAGAAAGTGAGAAATCACCTCCGGGGGAGTGGCCACTTTATAGTCCCTTTCCCTCTATTCTCCTCTCAGGATTTTGGACACACACACACACACACACGCACACACACACACACATGCTGGGTGTGAGTTTCAAATTGTGGGGTCTGGGACGTGAACCATGGTCGACCATGTGGGGGTCCAGTGCCTTAACCACTATGCCACTTGCTTTGATCTTTGATTTTTCCAGTATTGGGGAGCCATGCAGATGGCATGCATCACTGGACTCCCACACGGCCTACCACAGTTTGAGTCCCAGACTCAGTAGCTTGAAACTCACGCTGGGCACATGTGCATGCAGCCCAAGATTCTGGGAGGAGAATAGAGGAGAAGAGATTGAGGAGTGGCCATCTCCCCTGGGAGGTAATTTCTCACTTTCTCTCTCATTTTCTCTGTCTCTTTATCTTTCATGCTCATCCTAAGGCAAAAACTTCTCCAAAAAAAAAAAACAGATTTTTCCACTATCAAACTCCCACTCTTCTGCCTGTCTTTGTATCTATGCCCAAAGTGCCACAGCTGATTCCCTCGCTATAGCAAGATCTGAGTAAACAGCCATTACTGTTCTCCTTTGGGTGGTCTTTGTTTACTTCCACAAGCCCAAGTTCTCTCTCTCCCGTCGTACTCCCAGATCAAAGGCAACATCTCTGTCTCCCATTTCACTCCCCATCGCCCACACCAACCACGGACTGATGGAAGAGGACAAGAGGGAATAATGAAGAGGTGGGGAGCAGGACAGATGCAGGCTCAAATTCTGGCACTGATGCTTAGGAAGTCAAACACCCCGAGCCTCTGTTTTCTCATAGTAAGGGGACAGTCTAGTGGCAATGCAAAGGCTGGTGTGAGAAGTCAGTGAGGTCAAGGATCTAATGCACTGAGCACACGCAATGGGCACTTACTAAAGGAAAGGTCGGCCATCACACCAGAGAGGGCGCTCTTCTTCCCCACCAGGCAGGAGTGTTAAAGCGGTACATTTCTGGAGGGTGATTTAGTACACCATCGTTTCTGCTTTTGTAGGTCTTTTTTTCAAAATGTAATCTAAATATAAATTACAGTTTCTACTCAAAGACCTTGTTACAAGGCTCTTTGTGGTAATATTATAATATCGTTTCTTTTCTTTTTCTTTTCTTTCTTTTTTAGTTTGCTATAGGATGTAAACGTGTGCTGGAAAGAGACAAAAAGGGGGGAGAGAGAGAACATAAGAAAGTACTCCCCAGGGTGGATGACCACACTGCAATCCCTTCTCTTCCCCTCTCTCCGGATTTGGGGCACCCAAACACACCTAGTGTGTTTTTCAAGCCACTGGGTCTGGGACTTAGCCACACAGTCTGCCATGTGGGATCCAGCACCTCAACCACCACACCACCGAGCTGGCCTGGTATTACTGTTTCTGGTGGAAAAATAAACAAACAAATAAGAAAGAAAGAGGAGACAACTCAAATATCCCATAACAGGAACCTTGACTAAATAGATTGTAGTAGCCCGAACCGTGGAACACCATTCCTACACTAAAACTGGTGTAGCCGAGAGGTTCCAGCCCCACCTGGGACCTGCTAGGGACGTACATTCTGGGGTCCCACACCACATCCACTGATTCAGAATCTGGAAGAGGCAGCAATCTGGATTTTAACCCTCCAGGCACTTGAGCCACAGTGGTAGGAGATTACACTAGCACAGATACATTGCCAAGTGTTGCAAGACTGCAAAGCAACATGCACAGGAAGTTTGCCTGGATAGTGCCCCCGCAATGCCTACGTGTGGTGGGATGTCCACACACCAAAAGGCCTAGAAGAGCCTGTACCGAGGTGTTAACAGCAACATTCCCATGCCTATGCTTTTGTAAAAAGGAAAAAGAACCCTCCCACCAACTTATTTTTTAATTTCAAAAAAAGGGGGGAGGGCGGGGTGGGAATGGAGAGCACTTTCCAAGACAGCGTTCAACTGAGGAAAAGTTGGGAGTTCTCAGCAGGA